CAAATCTACCCACACGCTGGAAAACTCTTCTGCATTTAATCTTCCTTCTGTTTCGTTCCACAAGTAACAATAATTTCCTTGAGATATAAAATAAAATTTAAAGCTTATTCGCTGGCTATTACCTTGGCTTAAACGCATAAAGTAATACTCTAAGATAGAACAATAATCGAGCGACAGAAGCACAATATGTCGGATTTAGCAGTTGAATTTTAACTGATTGTACTAAGCAGCTTTACTCATCAAACAATTTTCGACAATTATATTTTTATATTGACGTTTTTTTTTTGCTTGCCAACTGCGGAATCGCCTACTCCTTCGAACTGCATCAAAAGGTCAATTTTGCCAAAAAAAAAAAAACGGATTTAGCAGGTTTACACTCTACGCCGACGATATATTCTTACAAAGTATATATGTATAAGCAGTAGTAACTTTTATCTGAACAGTATTGTATATGCATATTTAAAACATTCAATGCATACAACACATACACATAAAGTAGTTTTAGCAAAATATAGTAGCAAATTAGTGAGCAAAATAATNAGCCGACGATATATTCTTACAAAGTATATATGTATATGCAGTAGTAACTTTTATCTGAACAGTATTGTATATGCATATTTAAAACATTCAATGCACACATACGCATAAAGTAGTTTTAGCAAAATATAGTAGCAAATTAGTGAGCAAAATAATGGTGGAGAAATTGCAATTGAAAAAAAAAAAAAATTTAAAACTATTTAGTAAGCTATAATTTCATAATTACGATAAAAAGTATAGAGCTATGCACTTAGTACACAACAGCAATCATAAAAACTAAAAAAAAAAAGGAATATTGTAAATCTCTTCAGTTATAAATTCTTTAAATGAAGTGAATAGTTGAGACAGTTTGCAAAAAAAAAAAGACAAGTACAAACAAATTGGTTTAGTATCGGTTTGATGCAAGACGAATTCATATAAGATGGTTTCGATTCAACGAATACAACAATTACTTGTATTTTGTTTTTGCTCTTAGCGGGCCATTGTCAAATTTCAGCGACAGAAAATACNCAAGACGAATTCATATAAGGTGGTTTCGATTCAACGAATACAACAATTACTTGTATATTGTTTTTGCTCTTAGCG